ATGTCTCTTTAGTCTAATATAATCTGCATGTCCTTGCTCCTTCTTTTATGTCATTCTTCCCTTGTTAAGTAAAAGGATGTGTATTATGACTATTATGGCTTGTGCAGCAATGAAAATGAGGCTTTTTCAAGGTGCTGAGGAGAATGAAGTGCAAAGGAAGAGGAGCATGGGAAAATAATTGGGTCATCTCGAACCAATGGGATATTAACGCGCCATTGGGCTTCTCTGACTGTCTTGCTGTCCCTTTTTTTTTTTTTTTCCCTTTTTCATGACTTGCCATGAATCAGGGCACTCCGTATCACCAGGTGATTTACGGCTAATTAAAGCTAAGCCTTTATAGACCACACCCACTGCCCAAATGGACAGAAAACTGAATTGGAGATGTTTCAAAATGCATCTCTTGTCTCCTGGACAACCTTCAAGGCAGCGGCAATACTATAGCGATAATCAAAACATCAGAGAAATGCACCCCTTTCCTTCCTGGTTTATGCAAATAGTCCGTAATAAAAGCATGCTCACTCAGGGGCCTCAGGTAGAGGCAGGCAGGGGAAGGTCACATTGTGGGGAAAATTATTCTCTTCACGGCATGGTAATGAAAGCTTTTTTTATCGAGCGGAGCCAGTTAGGTTCTTGTCCCCAGCTCTCTGCTGCACTGCTGGTCTGGACGCTACTTGTGTTTATTTACTCTGTCCACAGCAGGATGGCACATACCTGTGGGATGGTCATGACAAAGTGAACTTGTAACTAATTGCATCTAGGAGTGTGGCAGTGCCCGCGATGAACTCTGAGGGTTATATTTGCATTAAGAATATCAGCTACTTGAATTACTGTAATTGAAGTTGCGCACATATGTGCACACACACAAGGCATTAGAAGCATGCAGCATACCAGTCAAGCAGTCTCCTTCGGTAAGCATGTTTTAACATCACTGAAGCGGTTTTATGACTCTTCCCCCTACCAGCTGCTGGTGAGTTGGGGGGATCGAGCCTCACACATGATGAAGAGCACCTCCCTGCTCGGAGTGGGAAGGGGAGAAGTGGGTTTTCCATTTCAGCGGTAGTGTGCTGCAGCTGTGAATGATTTGTCAGGTAGTGGGTCCACTATTTCAAAGGACCTGAATATATTGATCCAGTCCTCAATGAGCTGACACCTCATGTATCGTCTGAACTTGCCTCTTCTGGAAAGGCTGTTCCAAGAAGGACCTGGGAGGGGGAAAGAATCCTACTGTAAGGTAGAAAGGAATGCTACCAGTTCAGCTCTGTTAGGCGGTTTAAAAAAGGCTGGGCAAATAACATTTTTTTTTTTTTGTTTGACAAAATACATTGAGCCAAAGGTTTGCTTATCAGCTTTTTCCAAACGCTTTACAGCTGTATTACATGGTCTTGATTGGCAGGTGCAGTTTGCTCCGTTGTCATACAATCCATTAAATTTCCTTTACCTGATATGGATAAAAACAGATCTATTTGTGTCCCTGAAACTGTTGGAAGCTTTGCAGAAGAAGAGTTTTTGCTGGGATTTTATTTTAAGGCCAAGAATTACCTTTGATACAGAAGCTTTGGTGAAGGTACTGGGTTTTTGCAGCCATATTCTTTGGATCTGTACGTTTCAACCATATAAACACTGTAAGATTTGCGAGACTGATCATTTTCATTAATGGCTGCATAAAGCAATTTTATTTTCTTGAAGCAGGTGGCACCTTTTGGTGACTCATTTCCGATGCAGAATTGGGATCTTTTTCTTGGGCTCGAAGCCTTATTTAACGAGTGACGGTATGCCAAACACGTCTCCCACATCAGAGTAACCATATGTTTGTGCGCAGCCATTAATCTTAGACTGGATGTTGACTGTTCCTGTTCTGCCCTGTCCTACCCACGTTATTGTCCCCTGACTCTCACTTCCTGTTGTAATAACGGCTACTGACCACCACACAGATGGCTGTCAGCCAGGCGAGGGCAGCAGAAGGGCCCTGTCGACCCTCACACTCACACCAGCAATTGCGAGCACACACACTGTCTTACATGCAATGACAAATGCCAACACACACAAAGCTGAGGGCATCAGAGTCACAGTCAATGACAAATAGCAGCCAAAGACAACAAGACCCAGTGTGGCGTTCCTGAGGGGCTCTTTGAGATCTCTCACAGGGTGACCCAGTTTCATGACGTACCCCCTTATCCCCTATATGCTAGCATACCCTTTTCCATATTCACCCTAGCATTATTTTATAAGGTTAAGTCATCAGTTATCTCAATTATGTGAATGTTAGCTCCCAGGTCAAGTCATTCTTCTGCTCAGTAAAACCTCTGCAGCCTGGGCTGGTCAGAATCGCTCTTTTCTCCTCTTTTCTTCCTCTCAACGTCCGACCTCATCAGCTAACACGCAGTTTCTCCTATACTCCCCTCAGTTGCAGCTAACACCACTCACCCCAGAGATAAAAACACAACTTAAATTTATTTCTCAGTTCTTAATTCAGTCTTTTTTTCTGCTTTTACAGCAAATAGCTTAACTGCATTGCAGCAGTGCTAGTATGGGGCATTAATATTAATGTCTGCCCATTTCACCCAGCGTGGCAGGGGAGCCTGTCAATCTAGACTTATATTGGAGGGGCTCCTTACGCCAGCGAACACCCGCCTCAGTGCTCAAGCGCCTGATTCGGACGCTAGAAGGCGCCACTGTGCCCTTGTATTAAAGCCGGTGTGCGTTCATTGGCCGGTTTTTCCATAGATGGTGGATATTTCCAGCCAATCCAGATGTGCGAATGTTCTGCCAGTAGGAGTGAGAAAATTGGTAAGAACGGGGGCTTCATGTGGGACAGTTTTGCCCTTGATTCTGGTGGGAACTTGTGGTTTAAAAAAAATGCAGCGTGTCCCTATGTAGCCAATTCTTCGCCAAGGCTAAACGAGTGTTGTTTTGAACCACTGGGAACAAGTTTTGCGTTGCAGCTTCAGGCGATAACCTTATGTGGCAAAATCTTTTCTTGAATGATTTGCTTGTTTAAGCCTCAACTCCTACCCAGCGGGTGGGCCACGGATGAAATTCCTCAGAAGTCCCCTATGAGATGTAAAATCTACAGTATGTAAGCAAATACGTCTTTGTAACAAAGGGGACACGTTATGAATGTGAGATTAGGCAGAATGGGTGCGGTTGCTATCACATTTAAGCAGTGCTCCTCTGCATTAAGTGGTTGAAGATGGCTGCAAGCAATGCAGGTGTGTGTGTGTGTGTGTGTGTGTGTGTGGGTCTGTGCAATGAGAGGGAGAGAGAGAGAGAGTGAGCAAAAGAGCAAGGGAGACTGGGATCAGTGTGCTGCGCTGTTCATCACTGCAGCAGTACGCCAGCCCTGAATCTCTGTCCGTACAGAGGTGCTGACTGCCTGCCCCGTGCCTCTCTGCTTTCCTCAAGAGGGTGTGCTGATGATGCTCTCTTTCATTATTCCAGTGGGAGGGAGGCGAGCTATAGGTTTAGCAAAAAAACACCCGCAGAGAGCCAGCCATCCTGTTCCCATTTAGACCAAAAGCTTGCTAGATTATTGTTTTATTTCGAACAGTTGAGCATTTTCACTGACCAGTGTCGACCGTGGCCTTTCCTGCCCTGTGCCCAAACCCACTGCCTCATTTTACTGTTTGAGATCCTGCTTATCTTAAGCACCCCAGTGCACGCTGGTCAGTTGTATCAAAGAGTCAGCGCCGAACTGGCCGCTTCTTTTTTGTCGCATTTTAAAGATATGCCCTGCATGCGTATTCAGGGTTAAACAAGGTCAGAAGTGTTCCCCCCAGCACTGCTGCTGCTGCCTTAATGGTGCCTGAAGGTACACTGTGTACCTATCTACAGAGAAGATACAAGAAGAGTTCAGGGATGTGCTTTTCTAAATGTTGTTTTATATTTCTTTGTATGTGAACAAAGTGAGTTGATGCACTGTTTGCACATTAAAAGCGGGAATTTGTCTCATTTGAGCGTTTAGTATTTCTCTCTTCTGTATGCCCATGGGCTAGAGTAGGAACGAAGTTAGGGTCAAGAACAGAGAGATAATGAATGAGGTGAAATACATATTTAAGTAAAACTGCCATACTGTGAAACCTGCTTTGTTTAATTGGAAGAAGGCCACTAAGACATTTAATTACAACACTGTTAATTACAACTTTTTAAGTAAAATCTACATATTTTGACTTCAGCGTAGATTTCCATTCTCTGACTTTAATGTTCTCCAGCCTTTGTAGTTAATAAACAATGGAAATATGTATGTGCCGTTCTGTCTTTCTTTAATGACACTGTCGGCCTTTCTTTCTTTTTTTCTTTTCATCCCTACTCTGACACTGTGACTCCTCTCATACATTTGCCTTTGCAGCCACATGTCTATGTGGCACACATCCTCTAAATGACCTTCAGTGACACTGAACCGGTTCTTGTCGACACACGGGACCACTTCTGTTTAACAGCTCTGTTTAAACAATAGATGTTTCTCCCTTCCCACCTCGTCGGTTTCTTCCCCAGGAGGAGACCTGAGTGAATGCAGCTAAATCTTGATTACCAAGTTGCCTTCCAATGATATGCGCTTTTGCGCATCATCAAGGGAAATGTGACCGCCCTTTTTAAATCAAGAGTCTGTAGGGGGGACGGACACTCTCAGATAAGACGCAGCACTTGCACTGCTCAAAGCTTGATGTAAATAACACTGTGCTTGGTAAAGCAACTCCTCCCTAAGTTGATTTAGTATTCTTGTCGCCATGTGTGAAAATGGGATATGCCCTGCTGCAAAAAGAAAAGCTGTGTATTGGAGTGTGCTGTGTATAAGTGGCACAGTCACTGTGACGTGTACGGCACAGTGACTGAGAGTCATAGATAGGTTTTTGATTACATCAGAAAATTTATACCAAAATAACTTGATTGTCCTGACTTTTTGAAGGATTTTTTGTCTTCTCATGCACCAAAGCCCAGAATCTAGCAAAGCACTGACTTCTCTCCCTCCCTTGTCTTCCTCCTCCTCCTCCTCCTCTGTGCAGTGCCATGCGTGTGCTGTTATCCAAACTGCCGAGGCCTTGGATCGTAGACGAGAAGAAGGACGACGGTTATACTGCACTGCACCTGGCCGCCCTCAACAACCACGTGGAGGTGGCTGAGCTTTTGGTGCACCAGGTAGCAACATTTGAATGCATGCTTAATCACTTAACCTGGCAGCTATTTCTGTAATACATACTTTATAACAGCATGTCTACAGAGGCACCATTATCACTTAAAAAGCGCAGCAGAAGCATGCTCCCTGTGTATCTACCTAGATACCCAGATGTTGGGGAGTGTTTGACGCCAATGCTGTAGTTCCATGAAAATTTCAGAAAGTAGATTTGAATCTTGAATCTATCCTGCCTCCGTAGACCGCTGAAATGCAGTCTACGGCATGGGGATTTCTGTTTTGTCAGACCCTTGTGAGACGTGTGAATGAAAAACACATTTAAATAGTCATCTGTGTAAAGCATAATACAAAAAATTTACATTTCACAATTATCCCAAAGCACTGAAGCAACCTGCACTCTTAGCTTTACCTGCCTACAGACCATTAAAGCAGCTTTCACTGCACTCCCCTGCAGCCTGCAAGCTGTAGACCAGTTGAAGCTCCTATACATGCCTCTTTTTTTCTTTTTTTTATTGAATCCATACACTTCGCTGGTCCTATTCTTTAGTGCTGCTGGGCCATCATATCCTCCTCCTCCTGCAATCATAAGTTCATGCTCTTTTCTTTTTTTTCTTTTCCTCACCGAGATTGCAGGTTTAGCTCCTTGGAGACTAACTCGCACATGGGTTTACAGCAAAAGTCACCTGATCAAGCAGGAACTGGGTTAATGAGGATATGGTGCAAGGCAGTAACATTGCTGCAACATTCCAGTGCATGAGTGTTCGCAGTGCAAGCTACCTTTCAGCAGGGACAGCTTTTTCCTCCCCAAGTTCCTGCATTGGGCTTGTTCGCAGTGATGGCTCAGCTTTCTATTCAAAAACTGCACCACAGTACAAGGTGCACTGCAGTTTCCCAGCCAGCAAGCCAGCCAGTCAGCCAGTCTTATTACTTTGGGATTTCACACGCTGCCTGATCACAATACTTATCTTCCCTCCACATCTCCTCAGCTGAGGTGTTTGCAATTGGAAATGACAATCACATGCAGCGTTATTGTAGGATGCCTTTTTTTTTCTCTCTGCCCCCACCAGCTTCCCGGGTGATACTTTGTTGGTCGGCAGGGCTAAAGGAAACAACGTTCTGTCACGGCAAATAAAAATGTTGCAGTCTTTCAAGTGCAAAGGAATTAAATATAAAATATTTTCTTTTTTCCTGTTTTTATTTCTCTTATTTCATTACTTGTCTATCATCTCTGTGTGCACAACATGTTTGTTGCCCTTGTGTATATTAAGCTTTTTTGCTTCCCTCTTGTTCCCACCACCCAGGGCAACGCCAGCTTAGACATTCAGAATGTCAACCAGCAGACTGCATTACACTTGGCAGTGGAGCGCCAGCACACCCAGATAGTTCGGGTTAGTGGTTCCTCTTTTTCTCATTTGTTCTCCCTCTCTTTCTTGCCTTACTTAGTGAGCATTGTGTCTTTAGTCATCTCTCAGTCGGTCTTTTTACACTGCGCACAAAGGGGAGTAGAAAAACATTGGTGCAGCTCCACATTTAATTTATACGGTTGGATGTCCTGCAGTTGAACAAAGTCCTGCTTCAGAGGGGAGGGAAAAAGGCTCTCTAAGGCTGGTTAGAGTGTGTTAGCGTAGCATCGGATTGAGATTGCCACGTTGCCACCTTGTGGACTCACAAAAAAATGCACTCTATAATTGGGTAGCACAATGCTGAAGCAGTTCATTGTGAGCAGCCGGCAACCTTATAAATCAGGATGTGGCATTTGCATTGTAGCATTAAATTAAAGTTGTTTCACGGCGGCTGCGAGTTTCCCTCCGCTGTCGGCTTGTGCAACTCTTTGTTTATGTGTTTCTCTTTAACAGTTGCTGGTGCGGGCAGAGGCCAAGCTCGACGTGCAGGACAAGGATGGGGACACGCCGCTTCACGAGGCACTGCGTCACCACACGCTGTCCCAATTGCGGCAGCTCCAAGATATGCAAGATGTCAGCAAAGTGGAGCCCTGGGAACCTTCCAAGAACACGGTACATGTGCATCTATTATTAACCTCGCTGTTCATCCTATATCACATTTTACGTGTGTCAGGGATTCTTAAGGAGGTGGCCATACATAAAAATAAAACAAATGTTTGTTTCTGTGTATCTGTGTTTACTGATATACAACTTTAGGTTTTTAGAATTTTTTACTGTAGCTCAGTAATAATGAACAATGCTGGCATACTGCAGTAAAGGCTGACTTAGTAATTTTAGGAATGCCATCTTATTATATGATTCTGTTCTGATGTTCTGATTCATTTAGACATTCCCAAATATATTAAGCCAGGAAGGCAGTGCACAGTAATATGGCTCGTTAACGAGTTTGGTCACCAGCCACTGTTTTTCTGCTACTAGTGACTCTGTAACATATGCAGCTTACACTATGCTGCTAAAAGCATTCGCTCGTCTGGCTTCACACGCATATGAACTTAAGTGGCATCCCATTCTTAGTCCACATATGATGTCCGCCCACCCTTTGCAGCTGTAACAGTTTAGGAGTTTAGGGTTGTGTTTATGGGAATGCATTTTTCCATTATTCCAGAAGCACATTTGTAAGGTCAGACACTGATGTTGGACGGGAAGGCCTGACTCACAGTCTCCGCTCTAATTCACCCCAAAGGTATTCTGTCGGCTTGTGGTCAGGACTCTGTGCGGGCTAGTCAAGTGCGTCCACACCAAACTCGTTGATTCATATCTTTATGGACCTTGCTTTGTGTATCGGTGTGTGGTCATGTTGGAACAGAAAGTGGCATCCCTAAACTGTTCCCACAAAGTTGGGAACACGCAATTGTCCAAAATATCTTGGTATACTGAAGCATTAAGAGTTCCTTTCCCTGGAACTAAGGGGCCAAGCCCAACTCCTGAAAAACAGCTCCACACAATAATCCTCCAGAAATACACGACCTACCAATTTATGGCTGAGTTTCTGTCATTCCCAGTCACTTTTACTTTGTTATAGATCCACTACCACTGACTGGAATATTTAGCAGTGAGAACATTTTACAAGTAGATTTGTTGAACAAGTGGCATGCTATCACGGTCCCATGGTGGGACTGTTGAGAGTGACCCATTCTGTCACAAATGTTTGTTGAAGCAGTCTGCATGCCTAGGTGCTTGATTTTATGCACCTGTGACTAGTGCTGGGCGATATGACGATATATATATATATATATATATATATATATATATATATATATATATATATATATATATATATATCAATATCATGTGGACGATAGAAAAGTGTCTATTGTGCCATTTGTCTGCTATCGTTTCTAACCTAATTTTATAAATTATTACATAAAATATACCATTAACCCCTTAAAACTGGTCGGAGCGGGCACGCTCTGTTTTGCCTAACTATTTTTAAATCCCTGTAGAACTGGAACCACGTAAGCTAGCGCAATAATTTTTTTGCATATGAAACCGGAGGAGTTGTACTTACATCTTATGCCATCAGCTTGTCCTAGGTCACGGTTTCCTTCCACATATAGCTTTGCAAAAACTGCATAAAAAGCACTTGCAGCAACAAAAACATAATATTCCAGAAACACGCTTTGCCGATCCAATCAGCTGTTCGTAACACTTCCTACGTTGGAATATAGGTCAGCGCGAACTATCGCATGTCCGCCATTACCTGCCCGAAACCAGAAGTGACGTCATTTTCGCAGAAAATGTAATTTTTTACCTTCAGGGCCTTATAAGCCTATGCTGGTGTTTTTAAAAGTTATGTTTGACTTTATGCTTTTCTGTATCGTTTCTGGGATGCTTAGAACTAAAATTACACTGTTGGAAATAGTTTATTTTGATGCAGATGCTGTTTCTTTGCAGCAAGTTGGGAAAAGAAAATCTATAGCCAGCCGAAGATACAGCAGTCTTTCACACAAGGCCCTTATGAGAAAACGTCCCAGCACCATAAACAAATCACAGGAGCCATCTCGCATTACATTTGTAAAGGCATGGCCCCTGTTTACGTAGTTGAGAAGGACAGCTTTCGTGACCTTGTCAAAGTCCTTCATCCGAGGTACGTAAGCACTTCAGTAAAGTCGAGTTGCCTCGCTTATATGACGCATGCCGGGCCAAAGTAGAGAAGGATGTTTGCAGTGTCGTGCATTATGCCTTGATGACTGACCTACGGACGAGCAGAGATACGCAGCCCTACATGAGCGTAACCATTTCATTAACAAAGACTGCACCCTCTGCGCTCGCTGTTTACAGACTGCGTACTTTCCAGATGACCACAGGTCAGGTGGTATATCGTGATATATATCGTTATCGTGATATAAAATAATTCATATCATGATAAATATTTTTTCCATATCGCCCAGCACTACCTGTGACTACAGAAGTGATTGGAACACCTAAATTCAATGATTTGGATGGAGTGAATACGTCTGGCATTATAGTGTAGTTCTCCATATTTTCCTCTTTCCTCTCAGGTGACTGAGTGTAGATTCTTGTTATAGCTTTTAGCATTTGCATTCTTGGAAAACTTGGAAGTTGTCCCAGTGCTCTTCAGGACCTGTATACACACCTTTAATAAGATCAGCACCTGGGCCACTCTCCAATATGTGAAAAATGAAAGCGCTCCAGTCTCCATCACCAGCATCACTGGATAACTGCACCAGCCCATCATCCGCTCAGCAGCCAACAGTCAGCTGGCTTGCTGCTCCCTTTTACCCATCCTGAACGAGTCTGTCCCTCTGTAGAGGCCAAAAGGGCCATGTCAGGCCTCAACTGTCTCCATGTTAACACCACATCACTAAGCCCTATGGGGAGAAATTTAATGCATGGCTTCTGTGACAGATTTTCCATACCTGTCACCTTCTGTCTCCCTTCCACTCCATTTTCTTCTCTTTCTCCACCTCCTCTCTTCTGTCCCGCTTCCTGCCCTCTCTGGTTCCCCCCGCGGAGGAGCGGAACCGACAGACAGCAGGCCTAATTGAGATGTGTGCAGTTGGGTCACTCTCCCATGGCTCTCCCCTCCCATCAAAACGAGAATTGAATTAGCCGGCCCGATGGCTCCATCAGCATGAGATGTAAAAGCTACTGGTTGGAGACAATCAGACATGGAAGTTCTAAATTGCAGGAGAGACTTTGAATTGGGGTAGACTGAGTGTGGCGATGAGCTATGGGAGGGAGACAGATGTTACAGTTAATGGGATTTTGGGTTCGGGGTTAGAAGAATATATTTTCTGACAGTCATCTTAAGATGTCTTTCTGATCGTGTTATTCAAAGTGACCCCGTATGTATTTTAACATGAGTTTAAATCTGAAGACATTGATAAAATAAAAAAAACTGTACTCCTAACTACATTACTGGTTCAAGTTCCACTGTGTGTGAGGTAGAGGCACATCACAGACCTCCCCTTTCCCCAGGTTCAACTTTAAAATAATCTGTCATGTCAAAAAAAACCCTGGTGCATCTCTAAGTTTATGTGTTTTCCTGCTTCCTTCTTGTTCTCTGCAGTTAATCATGGGCTTGGGCACCCAGGGGGCAGAGAAGAAGAGCGCAGCATCCATCGCCTGCTTCCTGGCAGCTAATGGAGCAGACTTGACCATTCGTAACAAAAAGGGCCAGTCCCCTCTAGACCTGTGTCCGGACCCCAGCCTCTGCAAGGCTTTGGCCAAATGCCACAAAGAAAAGAGCAGGTAAATCTTCTCATCTGACATTTTGCCGAATTGGATGTGAAGATCGATGCCACTCATGACTAAACAGTGAATATGAAGCTGGAGCCAGGAGGTGCCGGGCCGAGCTCAGCATAAAAAAACAAGCGTGGACAATCTGCATAAAAGCTTAGGTGAAACGGTTTCACAGAACATTATGTGCCAGGCTGTTCCTTGGCTAGCTGCTTCATGGAGTCTCAGGAATTCAACACACAACCAACCTTAAAGCTGGAAAGTTAGCATGCTTATGATGCCTTTTCGTCCATCAACAAGATTACACAAAAATTACCAAACTGAATATCATGAGACTGAGCAGACGTGTGGAGCATAGGGGACAGGAAAAAAACTTGAAATTCTGGTGCTTTCATTGAGTTTTTTTTAAAACCTCAGATGCAATCATTTTTTATAAACTATGGAGAGAGGGGAAAAAAATCAAATGCATATTTAGCAAAAAGAATAAAGTATTTCCAATAGCACAATCAGAGTTCTAAGTATCCCAGGAACTTGTAATTAGAGAGGCACAGAGTCAGACATCTCCTTTCAATAGCACCCGAGGAGCTGTGATAGGCCTTGGAGGAGGGGAAAACACTACAATTCCCGGGAAGATGACATCAGTTGCTGAACATAAAAACATGTCAAAATACATGCTGACAACGTGATGACGTATATTCCAACGTAGGAAGTGCTGTGAACAGCTGATCATATCCGTAGTGCGTCTGTGTCTGGGCTATAATGTTTTTGTTGTTGTATGCGCTTTTTACATGATATCTGTAAACCCATTAGTGAAAGGAAGCAGCGGTCTGGGACACATTGAATGGCATTAATTCTAGGTATGCACTAAAGGGTTAAAGATATAAAGGAAGAGATAACATTTTGGTACAGTCATGTTCTATTTTGTTCTTTTGATTTCATTTCCTCATCTTTCGTTTTCTCCGGCCTCTCGCTTGTAATCGTTTCTCTCTCTCGCTCACACACTCTCTTCTGTTCCAGCGGCCAGGTGGGCACCCGCAGCCCGTCTCTGAACAGCAACATCGAGTCACTGGAGGAGTGTATGGTGTGTTCGGACATGAAGAGAGACACTCTTTTTGGGCCCTGCGGACACATCGCCACCTGCTCCCTCTGCTCGCCTCGTGTCAAGAAGTGTCTCATCTGCAAAGAACAAGTGCAGTCGAGAACTAAGGTATCAAGAAGCACAGCTGCTACTTGACACAGACAGGAGTGAGGATTATTTAATTTTTCTTGTGTTTGTCCGTCCACAGATCGAGGAGTGTGTAGTCTGCTCCGATAAAAAGGCAGCGGTGTTATTCCAGCCCTGTGGCCACATGTGCGCTTGTGAGAGTAAGTTAACTTCACCTTTCAGCATCATTTTGCCTCTTTTGGCTTCTGTGTGAGTATTAAAGAAAATATAGATTTTTTTTTTCTTGCACTGATGATCTTCTTCATCTTTCCTCCAGACTGTGCCAGCCTCATGAAGAAGTGCGTACAGTGCCGGGCTGTGGTGGAACGCCGCACCCCCTTCGTACTTTGCTGTGGAGGGAAAGGTATGGAGGATGATGCCGCTGATGATGATGATGATGATGATGATGATGATGATGACCTTAGTGAGTGAATTTTCCACACGTTTCCTTTTAATCCACCCCCTTTCTTCAAAGATTTTTCTTTTTCTTTTCTCATTTCTTTACTTTTTCCAAATAATCTGCTTTACTTTTATCTTTTGCTTTGTTGCTGCTTAGCTTTTGCAGTTTGTTTATGTTTGCGTCATTATATCTCAAATCATCGTGGCCGTTCTGCTCGAGCATCCCTGAATCGCCTAAAAAGTTTATGGTCCAAAGTCTGGACATATATAATGATTGCTGGGAAATTTTTGCTACATATATCAAATACGTTTTAAGATATATTACAAATGAAAATCTCACCACCATTTCTTACCATAAAAATTATATATACAATAAAATGTGTAATTTGCATCAAGAAATGTTCAGAATTTTTCAGCATAAAATATGGCAAAAAAAGATTAAAGCTGTCCTACAAACTTCCATGTTTGTGCACACTTTAAGAAAAATATTGATAGTACAGAAATAATACAATACAATGTACCTGCATGTCGTGTTAATGCAAAACCACACATGCAAAAAATTAAGAAAAGTGTTGTTGTCATTCAGTTTTCTTGCACGAGTCAGCAAATATGATGTACTGTACCACAAAAACAAACAAACGATCCAAAATCATCATCATATATATCCAGAATTCAATCAAGGCACATTAAGGCAAATCAGAGGTGGCTGAGCAGAAAAAGTTATAAATATGTTATGATTTGAGGTGGAATGATCATCACTGTCATGTTTTCTTTGTATTTTTTCATCCATAGAGACTCATTTAAAAAATATATATATATAAATAAAATTGTTACGCTTGCTTTCCAAACTGAATTCTACATCTAAATCTGTCATAATGTAATCATTAGAACCAATTGGCTCGCACCATTTGTAGTAGCCTCCACTTAGAGTTTAGCTCGAGTGGACGGCAGCCTCACTGCCATGTCTGAAATCAGCACACAGATCTTCAGAGCAGAGAAGATTTCATTTCAAATCCCAATCTTTTAATGTAGAACCCTAGAAGCCATCTCCAGATTGACTTTTACTGAATAACGTAATAATGTCAGAGCACACAGATAACCTTATTAATGTTCCTTTGGCCTCCAAAAGTTTGACTAATCACATTCACATAGAATGGATGAACTCATTTGTAAGCGTATCGCAGAAATGACCTGCAGCTCCTCCTATGATGCATGCATATAATACCCACATGAATCCACATTATAAGATCTTCCCCATTTCTGAAAAGAAATATGGAGCAGTTATGAAACTGTGCGGTGTTTTCAAAAACATTTTTCCAGCTGCAAAAGAGCCAGTTTCGATTTATTTTACCTAAAATATTGTGATGACAAGATGCACAAGTTATTTTATTTTTGGTTGCATTCACGATTCATCTTTCTGTTCTGCGGTGCATATCACTAGTGATTTCTTCTGTTTTTGTTTTAATTTGAGTTTAACAGTGGCACTGTAGCAAGTACGCAACTTTCATGTTTATACACATAATCTTATTTTTTTTAATTTCTCCATTTGTCAGCAAGTCGTACTTACCAGACGTGCAAAAGTGAATGCAGACCCAAGCAGTGACACATACACTCATGCAAGGGGCAGCATTGAATGCTTTTATTTTCCCCCTTTCCCCAGTAACCCTGCTTGTTGCTTCCTGTTTTAAAAGCAAATCTAGTGTGCAAAATATACCTGGCACTTGAAGCATTTTGACGCCATTCTTCTTTAATTTGGTGCATGGGTTTCATGTTGTACCTCTAACCCAGGCAATAGTCACCTGTAAGCAAAAAAGGGGAAAAAACACGTGCGACTTTAAGCAACCAGTAGAAGAAACTCTGTTTCCCGTTCTTTCCCTGATCACTGTTTCCAACTTGCTAGTTTTGCTTCTCAGATTCTTTCTCTGAACCTCTCATAGAGGCTATAGTGAGTAGTCTTGGTCATCAGGCCAGCCGCTGAGCTGGTGAGGGCAGCTCCTGCTATAACAATGTGACTGGTTATTCCCAGCAGGGAGCTCTAACAGTATGGCAGGGGGATCCCAGGATCTTCTCCAGCCCAACAATCTGGCACTAAGTTGGTGTAAGTATACCTCCATGATCCCCTCCCTTAAGAGAGCCTTGTTTATAGAGAACCTCCTGCAAACCTACACCCCCCACCCGAAGGTGCTGCCCTGGCCCCTCTCCCCCTCCCCTTAACCCCCTTTCCTCCGTTTCTCTTTCAGTGTGATGATATATATACGTACGATGCACATCCCAGGAGTCACACTGGTGCTCGCCGTGTTCTGGCAGATGTTTGGACAGCGAGAATAAGTCTCAGGAGGGCATCAGTCCAGAAAATTTGTGTCGAGCACTTAAATAATCCATTCAGGAAGTTTCACACACGTTTCATTATATACGAGCGAGCAAGCGAGCGCTGCATGATCATTTGTCCCGTGCCAGTTTATATTCCAGATAATTGCAAAGTGTGCTTTTCAGAAATCAAATGTAAAAGCAAGTTAGCGCGGACTGCCAGAGCCCGAGCTCGTTTGCCAACAGTAAACTTCAGCGCGCATGTGTTTGTGATCCTTCTCCATTTTCCAGAACCCATGTTTTAAAACGTACTCGAGCACCCGGCTCGTTTCAGAGCGGTAATGTTGTTGTGGCTGCACTCACTTTTATTGGCAATATAGTTTATAGTTTAAGAGGTCAAATCTGAGGTATTGCCACTGGTGCTAATCTTTTGGCTGATAAGTGCAGTTTGTTTTATTCTCACCATCTGTTTGCGTTTTTTTTTTTTTTTTTTTTTTTTTTTTTTAATGTCCAAACAGCCAGCGGAAACATCCCAGCCCTGCAGAAAGACAAGGCGAACACCAACGTCAACGCTGACGTGCAGAAGCTACAACAACAGCTCCAAGACATCAAGGAACAGGTAAGGTCACTAACCAGGTGTGGCTCGTGAACTAAAGCGGAAGAATAAAATGCAGTTGAACTGCAAAACAATAACCATTGCTGTAAAATTCTTAGGGATCAAATGCACGCCGGCACCATAAAGTTATTGTCCAGGGCTCGGCTCGGTAGTAATACTGACATGTTAAATGTGGAAAGGGTTTTACTACGACTGTTGCTTACTTGTGTGCAGACCATGTGTCCGGTGTGCCTGGACCGGCTGAAGAACATGATCTTCATGTGCGGCCACGGAACCTGCCAGCTGTGCGGGGATCGAATGAGCGAGTGTCCCATCTGCCGCAAGGCCATCGAACGCCGCATACTCCTCTACTAGACCCGCCGACGAACTCTCTTTGCTTCTCTTAAAGCCCACGCTGAACACGCTCGCCACGCGGCAACCACACCTGCTGCTGCTGCTGCCTCCATCCTCACAGCCACCCGCGTCAGCCAGGCACATCTAATTCTGTCCCACAAACGCTTTCTCAGTGGGTCGATTGCGTTCAGGTGGAATTCCTGTTACAAAACAAGGAAAATCGATGAATTGACTGAAGTTAATTGTGCTGTCCTGTCGCCGTCAGTGCAGCCAGAAAGAAAGACGCCTGTTTCAGAGACTTCATCCTTTTCCCTCCCACCCCCCATCTCCCTTTTTTGTGTTGTTTCCATTTATTCTCTCAACATTTCAAACAGTTGTCCCGTCTCGAGTCTGAAGTTCAGAATCAGAGTTTTGGATGTGATCACTTTGGGGGGTATCAGCTGAGTGAGAAGCGTGGAGGCGACGAAGGCGGCCTGTTACCGTTTGATATAAAGTTCTCATTCATCTGTTTGCAGTCCAGTGCCCACTGCAGGCAGATTTTATTGTATTTGTAAACCTTTTTTCAAGTGTATTTGTATTGGAAGCTCCTTCGTTTATCACGACAGTATGGCAGTATGGTTGCAGCTTTGGCTATTGCAACGCTCTGCTCACCGACTGTCCCTGCTCTTAAAAACCAAATGTTGGCAGTTTTTGCACTACAAAAAGCAGGGTTTAAATACTCCGGCCCCCACCCCACGCTGACTCCAGGGGGAACCCTTGGAGCTCAGTGACAAAACGCAGATATAGTAGTGTAACTGCCAGGTAGCGTGCTACACCCCGTACTTTGTTTACTGAGCTGAGTAACGACAGCAGTGTTGCAGCACCCTATCGGCTGCAGATTTAAGAACTGCCGTGTAGGGATTCAAGACAAACACAACTCTTTTGACTTCTGTCCACTGACACCCCCCCACCTCTCTTGTTGTAATTGTTTGTTCCACACACAAACTCACATGAGGCAAACATTTCTGTAACAGGAGAATCTTGTCGCAAGTTAGTGTTAAAGTGTTTTGAGACTTGTTGGTATTGTCTAACAAACAAAAAATATATGTATATATAAATATATACAGTTTACTGAATTGCTAATTTATCGGTGATGACATCGTGCCATTTGCTTCCAAAAAACAAAACTTGTGAACGAACGTTGGGGGGGTAAGGTGCTCTTTGTGTTACTATTTTTTTAATTTAAGCGTATTTCCTTTTCTCAAAGTCTACCTAGTACAATCTATTACAACACTAAGATGAAAATATAGAGTAAATTATTTTGCATCGCTGCCCAAACAATAGGACTTGTAGGTGTCACTGCCTTCCTACGATGTAGCCTCAAAGTCTCTCAAACATTCTGCTCCAATCTTTGTGTTTTCCCCCATTTTTTTGACAGTAGCTTTCTAGAAATCATCAGTAGAAGCTTTTTATTTTTTTGTGGCAGTTTTAAGGCAAACCTGTTCGTTTGCAAAACAAAACAAAAAAAAACTTTTTTGACATAAAGTGTCTGTTTTTTGTGTTGTTATTTGAGAGGAAAGATAAACTTGCCTTACCTCTTTTAAAAAGCAGTTGCCCGTGCGGCGACTCAGCAAAGCGACTAACTAACTGCTTGGGAATTTGCAACCACGTGCAAGCTAAATTTTTTTGCCTTTTAAGCAACTTTAGTACAGTTTTGTTTCTTTCCTGGTCACGACTCTATAAGCTAGAAGCACTAATACGCTTTATGGTAGTATTTTTTGTTATGGTTGTGTTTGAACAAAAAGCCCATTTGTTCTTTATTTTCAGTACCTGTAACTGTCCTTGTTAGACTTGTAGACGGTAGTATTTTCTTTGGCATGAATGTTTGACATATGCAGTACGACCTGTGTCAATAAAAGAAAACGTTCAGTCTGTATTGCGAATAAGTGCTTTTAAAAAAAAAAAAAACAACAAAAACAACCATATAGCTGAAATAAAGGCCTCCGTGAACCAAGAGACATTAAAGTCTCTGTTTGTTTTTAGATTCTCCTGAAATTTTAATGAGCTTTTCTTATGTTTGTTTTTGTTTTAAAGTTGAGCTCACATGTTAGGGTCCTATAGGCGAGAAAATTAGCATTTTGTTGCTTTTCTCCTGCTGTGCAGTGTCTGCCCTCGCAGAGGAGACGGGTGGCCCAGAAGGGAGGCGAGAGGTAATTGAAAATGCTAACACCTCATAATGACTCAGCACCAGCGTGTGATAGGTCAGCTATGCTAATCAGAAAGAGACAGAAAAGCGCAAGAGTGGGGTGCGGCGCGGTGGGTTTAGGGAGTTTAGAGTGATGCATCTTCTCCGCTGAGCAGTGCGACAGCAGGGCATCTCCTGAGCAGTGAGAAATTATGACCAAAGGCCATTTATGTTCTAGCTCATTGACTAGTCCATTCATAACCTGGACGTCTTTGAGCTTGTCTCACATGCAGCAGCAGTATACAGCTGCTCAGAGCGAGACATCCATCATGCTGTCACCCTCTCACTCAGTGAACACTGTACAGGAGGCTCTGACAACTTTTTCATACCATCTTGGACTTTTTGCACGAGGCCCTTACAGATGCTGTAAAGTCTCCTGGCAAGTCTGTGATGCTTGGTTATTTATATGCAAGCACTAGTCTTTAAAACAGTAGAAGACCATATGGTTGACCAGCTACATTGTTATACAGAGTCGCTAGCCTAAATCTAATTTAAACTACGTGTCAGTGGGATAAAAGCGACATACTTTCTTTTATGGATGGATAAAAGTGGTGTGGTTGACACAAATCTGTGGAGGCTTGTTTCCACCACTGGGAGTGGATATCTACGAGTCAAAATTTTTACCTACTAACTCAAACTTCTGATAAAATAACTTCAGTGGCGGGAATGTGCTTCCATAAAGTCGTTTCTGGTTAAAAAGGCTAAAGCTGGAAATTTCCTAGCAGTAGCAGGTCATAGGCTTGACTACCAGTACACATTTACACACACACAGAGGGCAACAAGTTACTTATTTTTCTGAGACTAGTAAGAAACTGAACTGTTTGACTGATCTCAGCCTCATCTGGGGTCAGCTGTGAAGCCGTACCTTATTGCCCAACGATGTTGCAGACATCATTGCTTCTCTGGAAATGTCTTTCACAAGAGTGACTTTGGTTTGGGATATTCAACCATGACATGTGAGTGTAATGTTCGCCTCATAAAGCCATAAATCATTTGAATACCATTACAAAACTGGCTGGTGGAGCCAGACTACTCTGTGTATATCACTCTTGACTGACTGCAGACCCTGCTGCCATGCTGACTGACAGTCGGGGTGCCGGAGACGCTGCTATCTCTCGCCTTGCCGCTGCCTGATCCTGGGGAGCATCCCTGACCACCTCACCCACCAGTTTCAGCTGCTTGAAGACTCCAGTGTTTGCTGACGAGGCTGCGGGGGCCTGTTACTCCCACACCGGGGGGTCAGCTAATCCACTCGCTGCCCCGCGGAGTGTGAGTGATGGTGGCCCAGCACGGGCAGGCTTGAGTGAGCAGCAGATAGATATGAAACAAACCCCCGGAGAGCGGACCGGGGCGACCACGATCAGGAAAATGTCTGCTACCCCGCTTCGAGCCTCTGCTGTGATCACTGAGAAGGGTCAGTGACATCCATCTGTCGGAGGACTGAGCGTGCCGCAGGGGGGAGGAAGGTGTATGGCTCCCCACCCCCTCAGGCTTCGCCCTTGGCACTGGCTCTGAAGTTATGACCCGACAGACAGAAATAAATGCACTCCACACACATCTAACGTGGAGTGAAGTTCCTCACAGGGCTTGCACATGCAGAGCTCAGAGCACATCACAAGGTGGCAGTACACCCAGCGACTAAACACTACTGGTCTCTGCTGTCATGAAGGGCCTTGTATTTGTGGACAGCAACACAGTCTGTTTTGGTTTTAGACACCATTTTTCCTCATCCTGCCGCTCCAAAACGACCGCACCAGTTTAAATTTACGACTGCATGCAGAACATGACGAGCTGTGATCCCACGGGTCCTCTGCTAACTGAGCAAAAACGTACCCCTGGACCCAGAGGTAACACGCAATGAAAACAAGTTTACTTATTGCACATGAAATGCATTTTTTCTGAGTTATCTGTATCGACTGGTGAGTTTTGTTTAGTTTTTTTTTTAAAAAGAAGGTAAACTTGGTGTGGGTTTAGACCTCGAGCCATTTCTTAGTGTAAACAGCATTGGAGAACTTCAGACTTCAAAAGCTTAACGTTTTCTGAGCTTCAGAAATCAATTGCTCCATGACTCCAGTCGGGCCACACAGAAAGACGGTGAAAATGCTTTCATACATCTTGCTGTGGCCCGGTTGGGCTTTTCCTGCCATGTTGGAAGCATTGATCTCTGACTGTCTGAAGGTCCTCTCTCTCTCTTTCTCTCTCATGTCATGCAGTTCAGAAGTCTGGCTGAATTTATTGTCTCAGTTTATGGTCGGGCTGAGCAAAGTGCAATCTGGTTGTCTGGACAAACTCTTCGAGGACCAGAGAAGAAGGGAGGGACGTGACAAAGGGGGCCTGGATTTGTACATTGCTGCATTTTGGGATCACTTTTTTTTTTTTGTAAACGAATTTAACACAGTAAATTGTTGACAGACATGAGCGGTTTTATTTTTAACCACTGGCACAATAAAGATAAAATGTCTTCATGTTTGTCAGTTTATAGTTGTTTTTTAAAGAAATTAATTAAAGTCATTCGAATGGCGCAATATGATACAATCCTTCACGTGTTTTCATGTGTTTATATGGTGACGGTGGTGGTGGGGGGTGTACCTGCAAGCTCCACCTTAGACAGTAAAGCCATAAACTCAGTTATCCTCTACCTCAGATCCTTCTTCAAAACATATAGGCCCCCGACTTGCTGATTGCTTTATTGATATCGATCTGGGCAAAGTGTCGAACCACTTGTTCATCTCGGTCAGAAGTGGTTAATCGGTATTTATCCAATGGGAGGAGATGGGGGAGGTCGACACAAACAACGTCTGAATGAAACCGAGTCCTGTAGGTATAAGGGCATAAGGGAGCAGGAGGCTCAGTGCCAGTTTATCAGGTACTCTGTATTAACGCAGAAGACCTGAAACACGTGTCCACAGTGAGCCGTCACAAATACATCCATAAAAATAACCAGGCGAGCTTTAAAACGCCAATCATTAATCCATGCAGTGGACTGCACAGACATGTAGTTTACTGAAAATATCAAATGTCTATGACAGAACATGGAAAATAGTAAATGTAGTGAAAAAAATGCAACAATCTATAGAAATCTCATCATAAAACGACTGCTGTCAGGACATAATCACTTAAGAAATGAAGCTTTACGACCCTTTTAAGCAACACAAGTCAATACAAGTGAGCTCAATATAATCCAGTATACTAAAAATGAAATGACATACAGCCGTAATAGCAGTCGCTGTAAATGATAACAGTAGATTACAGGGAACAAGTCAATAGTAGCTTTTCATTTAAATGTTATTGGGCTCTCCAATTTGCTTCCCTCTGTCTTTCACACCTTTCCTTTCTTAACCTTGGACTGTAAGTAATCATGAGCAACTGTATTCAAATGGTTTGCCGCCGAGGGATTATTCATGCCCATTCCTAATCTTAATTTGATGTAACATTAGAGAATTTGCCTATACTGGCACAAGTGTGGAAAAGTATGCTGCTATATCACATCCTTATGTGAATTAATTACAGTTTATTAGGCGTGGAGGTGCTGCACATTCACAGCTGCAAGCTGAGCACTCAGAACGACATAAATACTCATTAATGGCAGTTGACATTGCATCAGCTGCAAATGCTTTGTCCAGGCGTTGCATATCATCGCAGTAACATTTGATGCCTTGCTAGCTGAAAAATATTAATGCGAGGCTTTAAACTCTGTAAAAATTTAGCAAACGTCCTGCGGCTTTTGACCTATTGGTCGTAGCCCACTCTTGTGCCGTCCTTATCATCGCAGCACGATTGGAAACTGGAGCCGTCGAGCCACATTTACAGTGCAAATGTTATCGTTCCAGTGACACTTTAAACAGTCTTTATCAATATATAGTCATTCAAGGTTTATGAGCTTTGATAAAATGCCACTAGCGAGCAGGGTCATTACGCTGTGTAGCTACAAGGTGTCATTTCAGATTACAATTATTATTATTTTTTTCTGCAGAACATCTGGAACGAGCTGATGCTCAAGAGTTTAAGATAAATACTCGGTGGGTCTAGAGAGCAAAAGATATTGATTTCCCCCCCTCAGGAAGAGCAGCGTGAGGGCAAACTACGGTGTGAGTTTGGCAGAACCTTATCGGCCTATTATCTTTAAAACAGTGGGTTATCATAATTGCTTACTTAATAATTCTATAAAGCCGTGGCGCTGCAACCTTTGCCTGGGCAGTAAACTGTCAAGTGCTCAGATTGAAAAGATTCATGATGAGGTTAGAAAAGCTGCAAAGATTAACAGGCCTAGAATTTCAAATCAAGTAAAAATGGGTCAAAGTACATCCAGAATTTGTGATTACATTGATTTACTAAGGCACACGCACGGCTAAACCTTTCAAAGAGGCATTATGTTCACATTTTAAGCTACTTCAATTAATCATTAAACACTACAAGTATCAAATCAGGGCAGCTAGTAACCAGCTCCAACACTGTGGGTGTCTTTAGATGTGATTAGTTTCATGGCATTACAAGCGCGCTGAACAATGGGGTAGCCGTACTTCATCAACAAGCGCAGATCTCAACACACTGTGAACCCTCAGCTAAGCAAACAAGGCGGCGTTGGTGTCGCTGTCCTCCGCACGCTGCCAGGTGAGGCTTGGGGATGGTGAGGTGAGGTGGGGGGGAGATCAGCATTCAAAGCCACAGTTTCTAATCATTGTAAAACCAGATAGAGACAACAAAGAAACTCCCCAGAAGCCAGACTTTACTGAATTCCCCCAACTAATGCCTCTTTTTTTCTTTCTTACGTTC